AAAAAAAAAAAAAAAAAGGAACTTTCATTTTTGGTAGCAGAGATAAAAACAGGAAACTGAACAAGACATTCAGAGAAGTGACGTGTGATAACAGGCCCGGCTGTCCGCAAACTGATTATACTCTGCGGTACTTAAAACCTTTTTTCTGAGAAAGCTACAGTTTGAACACACTCAAACAAAAGCATCTTTTTCTGGTTCGCCCAAGCGCGTTAGTTTTACAATGAGGCTAGTAGTAGTATTTTTCCATCCCTAACACTCTCTAAGAAAGCTGTTGAGTGGCAAAGGTTGCTGTTTTGGATTCTTCAAATACCATGTTTTCTCCCCAAAGCAGTTTTTCTCGGCTGTTTGAAGATATGGATTGTGTCCTCGGTCACACTTCTGCTGTAAATACATTCAGACAGCTTCTGAAAATACTGAATAACTGTTGAGAAACTCCTGCAGCGGCACTCTGCAGATGTCAGAGATGGTTGTAAGTGTGTGAGGGAGCAGGAGAGCATCCTTCTCACTGAAAAGGCACACACACACACACACACACACACACACACACACACACACACATGAACACAAACTCTGCTGGACTCATTAGATGAACACAAGAAGTTGCTCAAAGTGAAGTTACTCCAGCAGCTCTCAATTACCTTGTTTGGCCGTACCAAGTAGTCACGTGACAGGGAGGGGAGGATTTACCGGGAATTTTGTTTATTTTGGCTTTTGTTTTGGATTACTGTTGTTTATTGTACATGTAGTCAAACCTGTGTTCCTCAATAGTCATATGTAGATTATAAAAATGCACTGTTAGGGTAAATTTGGAAATATTTGTTTCCTGATGCGTGGTGCCTTCCTCTAATCTGCAAAGGAAGTTGGTACAGGCCAAAGGTGCAGCTACTGCATGGGAGCTCAGTGAATGGTGTCTCTCATGGGGTCATGTTATGTCATATTTGCTGTTTCAGTCCTCTACAGTTCTGCTTCTTGTCCCCAAAGCTTTTACTTCTTTGTGTGTTGGGGAGAAAATCACACTTCTATTGTTTGCTGCTGCTGCTGCTCATTTTTCTACCCTCCTATACACTTCAATCCTGCTGGCTTTCATTCTGCGAGCAAGAGTTCACCACCACCAAGAAAAAAAAACTCTTGGCGTGATTCAGAAGGAAATTGCTGTCCCTGTGCCATGAACAACGTGAACTGAGTGCCAGCTTTGTGTTGTGACTCCTTGCATTTGAGAAACTCTTGCAGCGGCTACTGCATATTTTGACAAAATGCTGTTTTTTTATGACATGGAGGAGAGAAATCAATGCACAACGTTTGAAAGTGACATGAGACGTCAGATACCACAGAGAAGATCCTGCATGTTTCCACCAAAGACTGGACTTGAGTTGAGGTATGTAGCTTTGCATCATAATTTCATGTTTTGCTGCTGTTTACTGAAGCTGGTCAGGTAAACCAGATTATTCCTCAGTTCCGCTTTCATTTGTTCTGTGCCAGAAAACATCTTGACCCATCAGAAACAAGGTTATAAAATGGACCCTTGATTCGTAGACAATGTGGTGACTGACCCTGCTAACCTAGTGGCAAGGTGTCAAAAGACAGGTTTTGTAACTTACTTACTCTGAAACACTGCTTTCAAAGGTAACGTTACTGTCAGATAAGTAGTTGGCACCAAAGGAATAGAGCTTGAAGGTCAGTCTTACGTCCTCGCTGAGATAAATGCCTTCCAGATTTGAATATTCTTCAATGGAATGAGAAAAATCAAAGAGTTTAAAGTCTGATTTTACAATAACTGAGATGAAAACAGACCAATTAACTCAATTCAGAAAGCAGCAGCCATGTGGTAGTTAAAATAAAGTCACATTAAAAATAGAATATGCTGAGATAAAGAATACAAAACAAAGTATTGACATTACTGTACATAAGGTGTTAGGATGGTGCAGAGCTACAAGGTGAATTATCTGGCAAAAACAAAGCCCTCAACAACAACAGAGGACAGCGAGTGCATTTCACAATAACTGCCACAAAATCTGTTGTTTCATATCGAAAGGACGTCACTGCATGCATGCTGTAGATCAGGTGTGGGCAATCCTGGTCCTCGAGGGCCACAATCCTGCATGTTTTAGATGTTTCTCTTTTCCAATACACCTGATTCAAATGATCAGCTCATCATCAAGCTCTGCAGAAGCCTGATAACGATCCTGATCATTTGCTGTAGATGGAGTTGGATGCTGGCATGATCAGTCACTTTTCTGTTAGACTATGTGTTGAAGTTTCTTTTAGGTTAGTTTCACTGTTTTGTAAATGACCATGGCTCAGGTGGAACATGTGCAGCACTTCGTAGAACTTGACTAAACTGAAAATATGCTACATAAGTGCAGATTACTCACCATGTGGAGGCTGTAAACCACGTGGCTTGTTTCGGGACACAGAGGTGGTTATAAATTCAGAAATTATCGTCAGTGATGTCTCCTTATGTCTCATTTAAGTGTGTAGCGAACAATATAATTCAAAGTCTGATCAAAGAGGTTCCAGTCCTGTTTGTGGAATGTTGAGGCTGTCAATAGAGCATCTTCTGTTTAACCACAATGCTGTGCGTGTACCAGATGAAACTCCTCTAACTTTCGCTGGTATAAACTGGTTAAATGTAGAACGCCATCCAAAGGCTCATCAACACCCAACGTACATGTTGTGATAAAGTGGAAAAGAAAAAATGGCCAAATTTAATCAAAATATGTTTATTTCAGCACAAAATTCAGCAATATGTCGACAAGATGCTGTCTCATCATTAGCAAACACGCTGCATAATATAATATAATATAATACATTTACATTTGAGTGCAAAGAAGGAATCACAGTACAAAACATTTTGCCTTTTTTTTATGTGTGCAAATAACATCAAGCAAAACTGTGGCAAATACATAGTAAGAGAAAAAGAAAAGGATACTTGTGATAATGCTCTCCATCTCTGTATGCGCTTATTTTCCGAAGCGTCCAAATATATGTTAGAAACTGACTTAGAAAAGCTGAGCCGCTGTATGCAAAAGCTCAATCTGACTGCTCAGTTTGAGTGAGTTAAATGAATAACACTGTTAAAGCAAATATATGTATGATGAGTCTGAACACTAGAAAGATGACCACTTGTACCACTAGTTGGCTTGAAATGAATGTAAAACTGAAAGGTGTTTATGAATCTGTTGTTGTTTTTTGATTGTTGATGTCACAAAATCCCTTTTTTTCGTCTATGGTGCAAGCCTATGAGGACATTTTGCACAATGTTTTGTATGATTAATAAATATTAGCACACAGTTGCTACCTGATAGCATTTCTCCCTGTTCATCTTTAATGTAAAACTACACTTAAGGCTTCTTTTTACACCAATGTCTGGACTTTTTCTTACAGCCTGACACGGATTTGACTCTTTATTCAAGAATACATGCGAGAAAGATACCTCAAGTTACTTACTTGTCCCTATACAGCACTGAAGTGTGGTATAACTTTGTCTAATAATAGAATTTGAACTTCAGCATACTGAATGAGACATGCTAGTTTGTAGAAAATGTCATTTTTCATAATGAGCAAAGAAGCCACAGAGATGTACGTCTCCCTTAATGTCTCCTCTGCTTCTGCTTCATTCTTCCTCCATCTCAGACCGTCCTTTTGACCTTCTTCCCTTCATATCCTCCCTGTCCTCAAACTTTGCCCTCCTTACCCAGAGTGTGGTACACCCCCTCTTTCACTTCATGCTTCTTCAGTGCTTCGTACCCACCCTCTCCTCCTCCTCCTCCTCCTCCTCCCGCTGCTACTGCCCCCTCCATCCCCAAAGTGTGGTACACCCCTTCTTTCATTTCGTGCTTCTTCAGTGCTTCATACCCACCCTCTCCTCCTCCTCCTGCTCCTCCTGCTGCCCCCTCCATCCCCAAAGTGTGGTACACCCCCTCTTTCACTTCATGCTTCTTCAGTGCTTCGTACCCACCCTCTCCTCCTCCTCCTCCTCCTCCCGCTGCTACTGCCCCCTCCATCCCCAAAGTGTGGTACACCCCCTCTTTCATCTCCTCCTTCCTCAGTGGTTCATATTCACCACTTTTCTTCTGTGTTCCCGCTGCTTCTGACTGAAGCGTGTCGTATTCGGCCTCCGTCCGCGAAGCCTTCTGCAGCGTCTCATATTTGTCGTCATCGCCTCCCCGTCGTAACTTAAGCGCCACATCCTCATAAATTGCCCCTAAAAACAGAGTGACATGTGTTGCAGGATGTAAGCTGAGGCCTTTACTGTGCACTCAAAATGTGTCAAACAGGTAGGAGATACTCACCTTGGGCATTTCTCCTCCTATGCGATATATAGCATGCCACAGCTACCAGAAGCACAATCACCGATGCAGCGACTAGAACAATTATGATCAGAAGTAGATTTGGTTCTGCAGCAGGGACGTCTGAAACGGGAAGATGTAACGTATCAGGAGTGTGTGAAATGGTTGGAACTGTGACCCTATTTAGGACTACCAGCTCCAGCAGACCAAATAATGAGCAGCCAAACTGAATTGGTATTTGTTAAAAGGAAATGCACTTAAAAGAGGTATTTTGGCGGCTTAATATTGAGCATCCATAAAACCGAGGGACTCGCAGACATTTTGAAACCACATCATACATCAGACCCAGAAAATCCATTCTCATTTGTAACAAATTGCAACTCGATGTGTGGACGTTTATGCTAAAGATTTTAAGTCTCTCGCCTTACGGTGAGATAACACTAACGAGACAATGATGGTTATTTATTTTTTATTTTGGAAGAGACTGGGGAGATCTTAATGTGTATTAATGTGAAGAGGGAAATGATGTTCTTAAGCCGAAGCAAAAACTCACAAACAGGAGCGCTGAGGGAAGTCCTCATGTTGTCCAACACAGCTCTGCAACGAAAGGTACCGGATCCATGTGGCTTTGTATCAGAACTCACAAAGGCCCAGGACTGATGGTGTTCCTTGTAGTACCGGTACGACCATGCGCCAGAGGGACATGATTTGCAGGTGCAGTCCATGTTTTCAGAGAGCTCTGCTTGGACAGGATGTTCTGAAATGGATAAGACAAGGAGACACATTTAAAAAAAAAAAAAAAAAAGGTGTTGATAGAATTTTTTATTTTTTAAATGTCTTTTTTGAGATTGCTGGTTTTGTTTGCATACCTTGGGGAAACACCTCCTGATTGTCAGAAACCTCCTTGACCGGAGGCCCGCTAGTCCGGGCCATGTATGTGAAGGTGGCATGACACTTATATGTTCCCTCTTCAGAATCTGTTTCGTAGGTACTTTTGTCACTTGTCATAATGATTTGGTCGTTTCTGTAGAAGATGGTCTGGCTGATCCGATCTGTGCCCCGCGCGATACAGCTCAGAGTCAGGCGCTCTCCAGCCACAGCAGGCAGAGGATACATTTCCAGCAATACCCTCTTATCTGGAACAAGATGCAAGCTGGGTTAGTTTTACCCAATGCATTTAAACAAGTAAATAAATACACACTTGCTGTGTCCGAAATCACCTCCTATCCTCTGTGTACTGCACTATATAGGGTGTTCGTTTGCCATTGTGTAGTGCTGTCCGAATGTTAAGTTTCCAAATGCTACACCCTGTATGATGCACTCAATGATCCCACAATGAAAAAGTAGTGTACAGCTGATGGTCACTAACCGAGCAATATGGACCATCATGCACTGTGCGAAAGGAAATTCAAACTAGATGAACGAGAGCGTGAAAACTTGTCATTAAAATGTAGGTAATTTTGATGTGTTTGCACTACGCTGCTACGGCACAACTCGTGGCTAGCAAGTGAAGTAATTAATAGCTCGAGTATTGTCCGAAATGTTCCTTTGCAGAGGTGCTCCCTGCATGCTTCGCTATATAGTGGTCCCAGTGAGTAGGGAGTGAGTGGATGATTTGGGACACAGCCACAGTCATGCAGTCAATCCCAGTCTGTAAATGCTTGTTAGCTTTGTCACCTTGAAATGAAAATAACTGGCTGCCATCATTTTAACTGTTGCAACAAAGTGGCTCCCTTTACCAATAAGATCTGCTGTCACTGCCCGGCAGGTTTTGCCGCCTTTAATTTTCACACATTGGCTGCATTTGTTGAAATTTAACGCACAGGATACGTTGAACCCAGAAGATGACTGACTTCCAAAACAGAAACTGGCATGTAAACTAAATGAAGCCGTAAAATGCTTTTTTTTTTTCTTATGAATGCGTCGAACAATTTGGCTGACGAACCACCGGCTGCTATAAAATTACACATTTTCGTCCTTCCTCTTGAAAGCTGTTCTCTTGAACAACTACCATGATCTGACTGACTGAGAATCCACACAGACATATGCACATTTTCCTCTTTCCCATCCTGATAACTCAATAATTGTGCTGCATGTGCACCACGACCCGGCACTGATCGACTAGTAGGAGGCCTACCTGAGGTCCTGAGAGTGATTTGGTTACTTCTGCATCCTTGAGTACTGTTCGTGCACCAGTAAACGGTCTCGGGGACTGTCAGCTTATTGGTCTGAAAGGGCAGACTCACAGTGTCCTCTTTAAGCTTCAGCTTAATCGGTCTTGTCGTCGTTCCTCTGTTGACCCAGCAGTTCCATCCTTGCAGACCATCCTCGTTCTCAATCTTCAGGATAACCGAGTCTTCTAGTGGCATCACTGGCTGACCTGTCAGGATGGTGAGCGAGGCACTGGGGAGGTATTCTGAAAGGTAAATAAACGAGTTGCACCATTATATGTATGAAGCTTTCCACAAGATCTTTGGGAACTTTTATGTTTCGTGTGGAACATTTACTCAGGACTTCGATGGAGAAACTGTCGCTTCTTTGTCCGTTGCTCTCACATTGATAAGAGCCTGAATGCTGGGGGGAAGCTGCTGGTATCTTCACCATTTTGTTGGTCCACGTGTTTTCCACACCGTCTTTGTACCATTTCACTGGACTTACACCTTCATCACAAGTCAAGTAGAACAAGTCCCCAGTGAAGATCTGTTCGAGCTTTGGCGACATCGAAACTAAAAAGGCAGATGAACAGGAAAAGAAGTCATACACTTTTTTGTTTAGACATTTTGACTTTTTTTTTTTTCATTGTTAAATATAATATAAAATCAAATAGAGGTAAAGAACAGAGGCCTGATAACTTTTCAGCAGGTGTCAATATTGCTTACCGCTTGGCTTTTGCTGACATCTTGCCACGACTGTGAACGCTGTAACAAACAAACAAACAAACTTTATTCTTTCTAGACCATATCAAGGACATATTAGTTTCCTGCAACTATATTGGAATGAAGTCTAAATTCAAAGTGCGTCCCAGTGAGGACACCCGGGATCTTTCTGTGTGGAGTTTGCATGTTCTCCCTGTGGGTTCTCTCCAGATTCTCCAGCTTCCTCCACAGTCCAAAAACATGTTGAGGTTAATTGGTGATTCTAAATTGTCCGTAGGTGTGAATGTGAGTGTGCTTGGTTGTCTGTCTCTAAGTGTAGCCCTGTGATAGACTGGTGACCTGTCCAGGGTGTCCCCTGCCTTCACCCTGAGTCAGCTGGGATAGACTCCAGCCCCCCATGACCCTAGTGAGGATTAAGCGGTGTATTGATAATGGATGGATGGATCTCTATTGATGAATTATTATTTGTTCAATAACACTGTGCTCAAAAAACCAGACACTCTGTATCACTCAGCCACCCGCTTTGCCACAAATACACCCTTCCGCATTCACCACTGCGACCTCTATGAACTGATGAGGTGGCCCTCCCTTCATACTCGGTGGCTTCACCACTTCACCAAGTCAGTTCTGGGCAAGACACCTCCCTACCTGTCCTCTCTTCTTCACGTCGCCCCTAATTCTTATCGTACTAGGTCTAGTGAATACATCCATCTCATCATCCCCCCCCAATACTCCTACTGTTTTTTCCGTAACTCCTTTCACTTTGCAGCAGCTAACAACTGGAACACCTTACAAAACACTCTCAAACTTGTGACTTTGACTCCACTCACCACCTTTAAGCCTAAAATCCAACAGATTGTAGTTGACTGTTGCTCCTGCTGATCACGACTTTACTTACACACATACTTATCAATACCTCATGCATATCTTGTCTCACTCACTTGCATATGATCTCATGCTTCTTACTTGTTTATTTTTGTTCTATGTTTGTGTCTATTTGTGTCTGTAATTTCCATGTGTATTTGCTCCTGCTGGCGCCTCTTGACCAGGTCATGTTTGCAAATGAGAACTGGTTCTCAAACACTAACCTTGATCAAATACCAGATTTAAAGACATTTGTCTAATTTTTGGGTGTATTTCTTTTTTTCCTCTTTTTTTTTTTTTGTCTTGTTGTGATATTGAATTTTCTATCATTGCAGTCTCGCCAATTTTTAATTTATTTTTTTGCTTGTTTGACCTCCGGCATTAGGTTTTGAGGTTTTCTATGTGTCTGTCGGCTTCTATTAAATGCAAAATCTCAGGAACACCTTCAGCAAATTTCTCCTAAATGTTCACCTGAACTCAAGGATGAACCCGTTAGATATTGGTGATCAAATGTCACTGTGACCTCCCATTCATTCCGTTAACTGTAGGGTTAAAATAAACCTCCATGAAATCAATATAAAAGTCAATATCCCCACATAAAAAACACAACATTATGCGTGTACGTGCATCTGCGTAGGTGTCTATTTATTCAACTTTTCAGCTGTGGAGTTCTAATTTGCGCTTTAGCTTGTATTCCAAATATTTGCATCCTTCAACTAATGGAAGACCACAATCTGGCACACAGCATCATGAAACATTAAGCTTAATGCACAAAAATGCTTACTTTAGGATGACCGGGTTAAGCCTTACTACTTTGTTTTAGCACACGTCTGCAGAAAAACTGCCAAATATGCTAAAATGCTAATTCACAGTATTTCAGATAAATATGTTAAATGAATTTCACCACAGTAAATTCAACAAAATGCAAGACATTTTATCTTTTTTTTATTTAAAGAAATGTTGCACTTGCTTAATTGCAACATCAAGGATCAAGTAAAATATTCTGTGTCAAAAGCTTCACATAATTGTCATCATAGTAAAAATAAGAAACCTTCCAAACTACCCAGCAGTCCAGCTTCCTTTTACCCTGGATCTTTCTTACCTGCCAGGAGCAGCAGCTGTTTTCCAGCCCTCATCGCCCAAAACGACACGGACAAGAGTAAACAACACTGTGACAGAGGCACCGAGCACTGACCAGACACTAAGTGGCTGTGGCAGTTATTCACTCATGTTAAGGAAGTTGAGGAGTTGAGGAGGGGGGAGTGGGAAACCACGCAAGTGCTGCAAGAACAAAACACAACATAGATTCTCTGCAAAATTATCTAACAAAAATACTTCCCCTTTGTAATGACATTCCTTTTTACTGTAAGCAAGATACAAAAAAGTCGTCTTCTCTGAACTTACCTTACACCAGGAAATATTGCGTACCATACAAAAAAAGTTGGTTAATGCCTGAGACAAAGTACGCAAGCTTTTCATTTAAAAAAAACAAAACACATAGATGACGTGCAGATAATGTAAATTTACGTTTATTATAAATTTTAAAAAAGTATGTAAAACATGGCTGGAGGCTTGCAGATGACTAATTAATTTACAGAGAGCAGTCACCAGGTTTCATAATTACAAATATGAATTGTAACATGTGCAACAGCTAAAGCTGCACTAAAGGAGGCCTAAAACTGCAGCATAAAGAAGTGAAAAACTGGCAGAAATGCACGAGGCTCAAAAGCAAACGGTGACATAAGACCAATCGAATATCTCTATTAATAGAAGCTAACAATCTAACCAAAAAAGGGAAATAAAATATATAAAGTAAGACCGCTTTGTATGGGGAGCAAGAGGTCGACTGTGAGGAAGCCGTAAAGCTCACATAAAAAAGGAGGGCAAGTTAGGAAGCAGGAGACGTAGTCGTGCCCCAGCAGGTGTCTTCATTAGTCTTCTTACTGCATCCGTATCCAACGCCTAAATCCTCCTGTTAATGATTATGATTTGAAAGATGGTGCAGGTCCTTCAGAAGTAAAGCTGAAGCTCAATCTTTTGACAAATGACCATCCAGCCTCATACAGATCAAAGCTAGAGGTGCGTTCAGGTGACAGCTACCAGAATAATGGCAAATATATGCAGGCGTTCAGCAAGACGGCAACTGAGGATCATGCCTGGTGCTTATCATTTACATGTTGCAATTTTGCCCCGTGCATGTGATTAATGCAAACTAGATGCTGGAGTATGAGATTGCCTGATACATGTGATGCGTCCCATCTTAATCAGATCACTGCTGAGGGCTGCAAAGATACATCAGCTGCATTCTGAGGAGCCTCCTGGAAGCTCATTAAGACATGCAGCACTTTTCACTCTAGTTAACCCCCTTTGCCCCAAAGGCATGTTTTCTTTTTCTTTTTTTTTATGGAAAAATGACATAATTAAAGCCCAAACCTGTAAAAAAAAAAACACACAGAATAGTTTGTTTTTGAACTTTCTGAAAGTCCTTGAGCAATTTATGTCTGATCTGCAGTTCTATCAGGAAAAACACTAATCCAAGCTTATGTTTTTATGTATTTATTCTAGATGTCAAGTTTTTTTTAATTTAAATTGCCAATAATAAGCTGTTTATATGAACTAGACTCTGTAACCAACAAAAATTCTCAGTACATGATTGACTCAGCT